TAGAGTCCATCATTGAAAGTACAAGAAAGCATCTGTGGGCTGGGAATGTGGCTTAGTGGTTGAGTGCTTGCCTAGTATGCATGAAGCCCTGGGTTTGATTCTGGCTCAAGTGGTAGAGTGCTAGCCTTGAGCAAAAGAAGCTCAGAGAGAGTGCCCAGGCCCTGAGTTCAAGCTCCAGGACTGGGAAAGCAAGGAAGCAAGAAAGGAAGGAAGGAAGAAAGAAAGGAAGGAAGGGAGGGAGGGATGGAGGGAGGGAGGGAGGGAGGGAAAGGAAAGAGAAAGAAAGAAAGAAAAGGAAGGAAGGAAGGAAGGAGAAAAGCAAGCATCTGTAGCTAGTTCAGGTTGAAAAATAGTTCATTACAAACATACCATAGCTAGGAGGACACCACCTGCTGTGGGTCTTGTGGGTCCTGGGCCCAGGAAGAGGATGGGGGAGGGAGGGGACCTTGGCAGAACACTTGGAGGCCATTGCCAAGATTCTGTGTACAGATCCTCAAGGACTTCATCTTGACTGCCACTGGCCTCTGAGAGGAGCATGCTGGTGTCTGTCTGCTCCCACCAGCAGCTGAGCTAACTTCTGACCCCACTGACAGTCCTGTGCTTGGAATGGGACAAGGGGAACATTTAATTCAGATACACAGTAGCATCCAGTAGTAGTGCATTTAATGGCTCCTTGGATATCTCCTCTCTGCTATGCAGCAGCCAATCTTTAAGACTCCCTCCTGCCCACACCTTGCAAAACTAACAATAGTCCAGTAGTTCAGCCAATCATTTAGAGTGCCTTGGATATTTTTTCTATTTATTTTAGAGTAAATTGCTCTTGAACATTCTCTGGACTTACCTATTGAGTGATTACAAAGAAAGATTAGGTTTTAAAGTACTAGGTCCAAATTATTTGTATTGAGAATTTTGTTATGTTTAATAATTCTGTTCAGGGAGAAAATTCCTATAGCTTACAGCATCTCCAGGAGTGCCAGAGAAGCTGTCAGAAATAATGTCCTGAAGGATCTAGCCTAGCAGAGGCTCCCTGGGTCAGACAGCACAATATGCAAACAACCATAGGTCTCAGTCCTCTGGAAATGGGTGTGACTGTCACCACCCTCCCCAAGGTAGAGTCCTCTTTGTGTCTGCTTCAGCTCAGAGGGAGCTGGTAGCTGTATTCCTAGCTACTCGGGAGGCTGAGGTCTGAGGATTGAGGTTTGAGGCCAGCCCAGCAGAAAAGTCTTTGAGCTTTTTATCTCCAATTAATCAACATAAAACCAGAAATGAAGTTGTGGATCATGTAGTTGAGCTCCAGACTTGAGTGGAAAAAGCCAAGAGAGAGCTTGAGACCTTGAGTTCAAGCCCCAGTCCTAGCATAAAAGGAGAAAAAGGAGAAAAAAGGAAGGGAAGGAGGGAGGGAGGGAGGGAGGGAAGGAGAGGAAAAGCTTGGGAGGGAAGAGACAGTAAAACAAGTTCAATATATTACATTATCTTTGCGAAAAGAAGCCTAAGGTGGAGAACCCACCAAGTATATGAAATGCTCAATAGTCAAAAAGAACTCACCTGTCCTCATTGGATCTCCAGGAGCCCAGCCACACACATCGTAGCAGCTCTTCCTCCATATTCTGCTCTCTTTCCTCTGAGACCCCTCTCCTTCAGGTGCTCAGAATCCCCTGACCCAAGCTCCTTCTCACAGTGCCTCCCCCTCCACTCATACCAGGGATCTCAGCTAGACCTGTCCACCTTCTCTGTGGACAACTACGTCAATGGCTGCACCCCAAGTTCAAGGAGTTCATGGAGAGCTCACATTTATGTGTCAATTCTCAAGCACCTTTCCTCTCTCAATGAGGAATTCTTTGGGGATTTTTTTTAGTTTTTGTTGTTGTTGTTTGTTATTATTTTCTGCTGGTGGTGGGGCTTGAACTGAGGGGCCTTGGTGTTGTCCCTGAGCTTTTTTGCTCAAGGCTAGAGCTCTACCACTTGGGCCACAGCTCCACTTCCAGCATTTGGGCAGTTAAATTGGAGATTGGAGTCTAATCTCCAAAGATTAATCTTCTTGGGCTGGATTCAAACCAGGATCCTCCAATCTGAGCCTCCTTAGTAGCTAAGATTACAGGCTTGAACTACCAGTGCCCAGAGAAAAATGCTTTGTTAATGCTCCTATTTACACAAGAGGAAATGGAAGCCCAGAGAGCTGACATCAATCCTCTCCATCACTCACAGAGACGCCTGGAGGGCAGGGCCTGTGTTCCATTCCTCCTCTGCCAAGACTTATGTTCTCAAGAATTGCATGTGATTCTAAAAATTGTCCCACGAGTCTTGCCTTGGAATGTTTCCAACAGAACACTGTTCCTCAAACTTGGCTTTTTCGTAAGACAGATCTAAGATGCCAGTTAAAAATAATGTAGACTTCCTGAAGATCGAAGTCTTACAATCTTGGGAAGGGTTTGGGGACCCAAAGATACTACTGAGCTATATCCCCAGTCCTCTCCCCATTTTTTGTTTTATTTTAAGTAGGATCTTGCTCTCTAGCTCAGAGTGGCCTTGAAGTTAGGGATTTGGAGCAATCTTTCTGCTTCAGTCTCCTGAGTGCTGGGATTACAGCATCATTTCTCTTAGTTACATACACATATTATATATATATATATACATATATATATACATATACATATATATGTACATATCTTTTTATAGATCTATACATGACTAATATTAAAGCCTGAGTTCAGGGCTTCCTGCTTATTAGTCATTTTGCCACTAGAGCCACACCTTTTTGTTTTGGATATTTTTTTCGTTCCAGTCTCCACTTGATGAAATCCTCCTACATTCTCCTTCCCACAGAGCTAGGATCACAGGCATACGTCAGCACACTTCACTTATTGATTGAGGTGTGGTCTTGAGAACTTTTGGTTGTGCTAGCTTCAAACTGTGATCTTCTTGATCTTGATCTCCGAAATAGCTGGGATTACAAGAATGAGCCACTGTGCCACCAAGGGACCTTCAGCAATTCTTATTATCAGGCAAATGGCAAAATCTTTGTTTGCTTTCAAAAGATATATTTATACTACTCTGGGCCAGTACAGTTGGGTCTGTTCTCACGGGGGTTCAGTGGATGAGATCTGCCCATTTTGAAGCATCTGGAAGGACTAGAAACTTTCAAAATATAAGCATCTGGCCAGGCACTGGTGGCTCATGCCTGTAATCCTAGCTACTCAGGAGGCTGAGATCTGAGGATCTCAGTTAGACAACAGGAAAGTCTATGAGACTCTTATCTCCAATCAACTACCAGAAAACTGGAAGTGACACAGTGGCTCAAGTGGTAGAGCGCTAGCCTTGAGCAAAAAAGCTCAGGGACAGCATCCAGGCCCAGAATTCAGGCCCCATGACTGAACGCCTCCCTCCCCAAAAAAAAAGCTCAGGGACAGTACCCAGGCACTGAGTTCAAGCCCCACAACTGCCAAAAAAAAAGTATCTATCTATGGTATGGACAAAGTAATCCTGTGCCCAATACGTAAAGAAGAGGTCTAAATATGTCTGTGATTAACAAGATGCCCAGCCCTGAAGGGCTGCCCAACAGACAAGGCCACTGGAATAGGCCAGCTTCCTGCCCCACACCTAGGTCTGTGCAGCAAGTGCTCCAGCCAAGAGGGCACAAACTCCATCTTCCACCTCAGATCCTATCATTCACCCAGGCCTCAGGATTTTCCTATGCAAAGCCCTAAACAGGGAGGAGGTGGCTGAAGAGGAAAGCTTGATCAATTTGGGGTTTGTGGTGAGTGCTATCCAGAACCTTCAGTTCATTCTACCTGTGGACTCTGATCCCATAGGAGGCCCCACTAAGTAAGGGAAGTTGCTCCCTGCCTTGTGGAAGATAGGTCATCTGGGGAGTGAAGGGCAAGGAATAGATCCAAGTCCTTAACCTCAACTGACAATTGTTTCTCTATCCTTTTTTTCAGTACTGGAATTTGAACTCAGGGCCTTGCTTGCTAAGCAACTATGTCTCATCTCCTCAGTGATTCTTTTTTTTTTTTTTTGGTCTGGTCGTGGGGCCTGAACTCTGGGCCTGGGTGCTGTCCTTCAGCTCTTCAGCTCAAGGCTAGCACTCTACCACTTGAGCCACAGCACCACTTCCGGCTTTTTTCTTTTTGCTTATGTGGTGCTGAGGAATCGAACCCAGGGCCTCAGGCATGCAAGGCAAGCGCTCTACCACTGAGCCACCTTCCCAGCCCTCTTTAGTGATTCTTATGGCTCATTAAGTGTCATTGGCCTCTAGGTCCCAGGAAGCACTTGGCCTTTTTCTCTTAAGGTTATGTCCTGCCGGGGGCTGGTGGCTCATGCCTGTATCTTAGCTACTCAGGAGGCTGAAATCTGAGGATTGAGGTTCAAAGCCAGCCAGGGCAGGAAAGTCCGTGAGACTATCTCCAGTTAACCACCAGCAAACCAGAAGTGCCACTGTGACTCAAGTGGTACAGCACTAGCCTTGAGCTGAAGAGCTCAGGGATAGTGCCCAAGCCCAGAGTCCAAGCCCCACAACCAACAACAACAACAACAAAAAAGGTTATGTCCTACTCCAACTCCCCATGCAAGTTATCTGGGCTTTGTTTTTACTTTGTGCCAACAGCTAGTGCATGCACAAAGTGAAAAATACAAGAAAGGAAGAGGCCTATAAGTTTCAATATTCATGATCATGGTCTGCATTTCCTCGTTTCTTGTTTTGTTTTTTGGTTCCAGTACTGCGGCTTGAACTCAGCTTTTTCATTCAAGGCTGGAGCTCTACTACTACTTAAGCTATAACTCCACTTCTGGCAGGTGACAGGGACTTGATGAAAACTTTTAGAGGCAAAATCCCACCCCCAGGTAGATTCCTAGAAGCAGGGGCAGGGACTTGAACAATAGATTACCAGACCTGCCATACCTGTACCATGAACTCAGGAGACTCTTTGAACTCCAGCTCCTTGTGACCCTACCTCCTGACTGTGACCCTATGTAGGCCCCAGCACTTCAGCTGCCAATGCACCATGTCTCCTGCCTCTCCTCCGGGTACCATGTCATCCCTCTTCAACTTTCCATTAGAGTTGATCTAGTTTGTTCAGAATGTTTTTCTGCTCTTTCTTTACCACCCTTGTGGCTCAGTTTCCTATCAGTTTTAAGTGCATTGAAGGCTGCAAGTTTTTTGGGGACATGTATCTGCTCATAGTCACTGGCTTTCTAATAAAGACTCCAGATTCAACCACTCAAAATGTGGCTTCTCTGTATCTCCCCATCAAATTACTGTCAAGTAATATGAGTCTCACAGATTTTTCCAGTCCTGGCTGGCTGAATCTCTATCCTCAAGTCTCAGCCTCTGGAGTAACTAGGATTACAAGCATGAGCCACTGGTACCCAGCTCTCATTTTCTGGTTTAAATAGAGTCAAACACCAAACCCCACCCTTCCTTTTATCCCAACACGTCTCAGAAGTCAATGTTCCAAATTCATGGAGTGACCTCGAAATCATGAACCCCTTAAGGAATCTCCCAGTGCTGATGAGCCTCATTCTCCAGTGGCTAGGCGACAGTGTCCTGATTCCCTCCTAGATGAGGTAGGAGGATGCCCATTGTTTAGCATTCAGGTTCTGGAGCCTCATATCCATCACTGAGTGAGTGCATGACCTCAGGAAAGATATGCAATTTATCAAGGCCTTAGTGTTATAGACTGTAATTGTGCCACAAACACGATTCATGTATAATAAAGACCTACTGCCCAATGTGCCTGTGATAGGACTGTTTTGGGCCTTGCTCCAACAGCTCTGCTGACTTCATAAGAAAAGGGAGTGCATACCAGCTTTGTTCTCTCTTTAGACATGTGCAGACAAGGGGCCATGTGAGGACATGGGGAGGCTGCTGTCTCCAAGCCAGGGAGAGCAGCCACACCAGAAACCAACCCTGATGGCACCTTGATCTTGGACTTTCATCCTCCAGAATTGTGAGGAAATAAAAGATCTGTCGTTTAAGTCACCAGTCTGTGCTATTGTTATGGTGGTCCAAGCTGACTAATGCACTCCATTTCTTTGTTTAAAGAGATAAAACTAGAACTTGCATCATGGGGTTATTTTGAGAACACAATGAGGAAGCACACATGTAATGCCTGCCTGTTTTATTTTCTATGGGTGTCTTCACCACCTGGAATAGCACCTAGTACATAGAGAGTGTTTGGTAATGTGTCCACTGGATGAATAAACACATCCATCAATAATAATAATAAAGCTGTCACTGAACATGACAGTTCTAACTTTTATGTCTTTGATCACCACTCACCAGCAAATGACAAGTGTAAGGATTTTAAAAAATTGTCTGAAAGGAGCCTACCTAGTAACACATGCATTTTGGAAATGGGACATTGGGCCAGCTTCCTTCTGGAGGACTTGGGGCGGGGGTGGCAACACAGAAGCTAGGTCTCGTCTGGGAGTGTCCTGAGTGAAGTCCATTTGGAATGGGAGGCCACCCACCTTCCGGGTGCTTAAGAGATGCAAATAACATTGATAGAAGGGGATAGGGAACAAAAGGGCCCCTATGCCTCACACCTTTTGTGCCAAATCCTGGCCTACTGGAAGGCAGAGCTCATCTAATCCAGCCATGGTGAGACCTGGTCCCAGAACAGCTCCAGGCACACAAACCTGCCTGGTTCGGGGGGGAGGGGGGGGGCGGAGGAGGGGGAGAACTCTGGGCAGGGAGAGGTGCCCTAATCCCAATAGTACTAACTATCCTTTATTTTCCCCTCTTTCTAGGACAAGCTCAGTGGGACCAAGGCCCGGTGAGTACTGGGGCTCTTCTTTCTCCCACCCTCTTCTCTAGTCTCCCTTGCCCACCCCCTATTCCTCCTTCACTGGCACTGCTGCTTTAGGTGTGGTGCTGGCTCTGACTACTCCCAGCCCACATGACACCATTCATCTGCTTTTACCCATCAGTACTGGGGCTCCCCTGTCTCCCAGCTTACCTGGGGTACCAGGCCATCCAGTTGTGTTCCCCAAGGGCACTGGCTCTGCCCCTCTACCCCCAGGAACCCTCCCTCCCATTCTGCTGCCCCAGTCCAAGGCCACCATGTCACACAACTCTTGGGGGGGGTAGGCATTCATGGTGATGGATATCAGTGTGACGGAGTGCAATGTCTACTTGACACAAACTCCAGAACCTTTTGGGCTAAGTTGAGTAGAGTCTGCTTGCAGGTTGGGGCCACCTCTTCCACCTCCCAGATGCGTGGGTAAGTGACACAGTAGACCAGAGTTCCAGTACATTAGGGGCCCCCACAAGTTCAGTATCTCTTGAGTGGCTGTGGACACGCATCTGCCATAGTCCTGCACTGCTGGGTTACTGGGGCTTAGCTCTCCCATTTGTCTTAGGGAAAGTCAAAGGTGTCAGGAGGCGTGGAACTGATGTAGGTAAAACAAGCGACTGGGAGGCTCCCTTCTTTCTCGGGCCAACTCATTGGCCCTGCTGCCATGATAAAAATTTCCCTCAAGAATTAAGTTCCTAGCCAGGCACTGGTGGCTCATGCCTATAATCCTAGATACTCAGAAGGCTGAGATCTGAGGATCAAGATTTAAAGCTATCCGGGACAGGAAAGTCTGTGAGACTCTTATCTCCAATTAACCACCAGAAAACCTCTTATCTCCAATTAACCACCAGAAAACCAAAGTAGTGTTGTGGCTCAAGTGGTAGAGCACTAGCCTTGAGCTGAAGAGCTTAGGGACAGTGCCCAGGCCCAGAGTTCAAGCCCCATAACTGACAAAAAAAAAAAAAAAAAGAGAGTGAATTCTTGGCTGGGAATGTAGCTTAGTGGTAGAGTGCTTGCCTAACAGGCAGGAAGCCCTGGGTTCAATTCCTTAGTGCCACATAAACAGAAAAAGCCAGAAGGGGCCCTATGGCTCAAGTGGTAGAGTGCTAGCCTTGAGCAAGAGCAGCTCAGGGTCAGTGCCCAGGCCCTGAGTTCAAGTCCCAAGACTGGCAGAAGAAAGAAAGAAAGAAAGAGAGAGAGAGAGAGAGAGAGAGAGAAAGAAAGAAAGGGAGAGAGAGAGAGAGAAAGAGAGAGGGAGGGAGGGAGGGAGGGAAGGGAAGGGAAGGGAAGGAAGGAAGGAAAGAAGTATAAGTTCCTGAAGCCTGGTGGCTCATGCTTGTAATTCTAATTACTCTGGAGGGTGAGATCTGAAGATCTCCGTTTGAACCCACTAGGGCAATAAAGTACTTGAGATTCTTATCTCCAATTAACCACTAAAAAGCCAAAAGTGGAGCTATGGCTCTTGTGGCAGAGCACTAGCCTTGAGCAAAAAAGCTCAGGCATTCAGATCAAGCCCCAGGACTGCCCTAAACCTTCCCTCCTCCCCCAGGAGAACTGGTTTCTTTAGTGGAGGATTAAAGCTCATTATGGGGGGGGGGCATCAGACATTGTGCTAGAAGGGGGTGGGGTGGGAGGAGGCAAGGCCAGTCTGTCTGTCCAGATGCCTCAGCTTGGAGAGAGGATGCCCTCAGCTCATCTCCTCTGTCTACTCCAGAGACCTGGAGACACAGGGTAAGTAAGTTCAGCAGCTGAGATGGAGGCTGGAGCGGTGGGGGGGGGGGGGGGGGGGGAGGCAGCAGCCATCAGTGTCCTGGGCATGTTCCACCCTCCATCTCCTCTGTACCCAGCAGCACTTTCTGAAGGCCCAAGAGGAGGAGGAAGAGGATAAATATGAGCTGCCCCCCTGTGAGGCCCTGCCCCTCAATCTGGCCCCTGCACACCTTGCAGGTGCTGAGGAGGAGTCCTTGTACCTGGGTGAGGGCAGGGAAGTGAGAGGCAGGGAGGTGGGGATTTGGGTAGAGAACCCAGGCCTTGCCTCTCCTCCTGCCTGAGCAGGGGCAGGGACAGGGTGGTCACTGGGGCCTCTTGGCTGGGGCAGAGATGGAAGTTGGAAAAGAGTGACTGACAGGAGGAGGGAAAGGAGAGTAGGGAAGGCAGAGAATTGAGTGCCAGGTAACCAAGGCAACGGCAGAAAAGCAGGAGGCTAGACCCTGGTCTCTGGGGGCCTCCAGTACCCACTCTATGATTCTAGAACGTTCTCTGAGATGAGGGTACCATGGGTATTCCACTCCCACTGCTTAGGGTCTTGGCCAGGTCGGAGCAGGGAAGCTGGCTGCCTCCAGAGAGACAAAGCTGTCAGAAGATAATAAGCTAAGGAGAGGGAAGGAGAAGGAAATGGAAGGATAGTTGGGAAGGAGCTGGAAGAAAATGGGAATCGACATGGGAGGGCCCAAAATGCCTGGGGTCTTTTCCAGATTGCTCTGGCCCCTTCAGACCATCCAAGCCACCTCCCACCATGGGGAGAGACCTTCCCCCAAGTCACTCCTTCTCCATTCACTCCACCCCAGGCAACCATTTTCCGGTGAGTAAATTGTGAGAGGCAGATCATGTACAAGAGCACTAACATTTGCATTCAAGAGAGCCCCAAAATCTCAGGTGCCAGAGACTTGAGAAGCCAAAGTCCTTTGGCCCTCCCAGCCAGCCTGACCTGCTACTGCCTCTCTCTGTTCTCCCCTGAGCTGGACCTAGGATTCTAGGTTCCACTGTACTCCCCTGAACTTTGAGCTTGAGGACTCCATCCTGTCCAGAGATTACACAAGCCTCTCCATTTAGCTGCCAGTCAGTGCCAGATCCCAGTCCCACTGAGTCCCACACACGGACTCCAAAAGCTACCATTTTCAGTAGAGAAGTGCACAGCCAAGAGCCACAGAAAAGCAGCTGAGAAAAGTGTCCTTTTGGTACATTTCATCTTGAGCTTATAGTGGCAGGTTTGGTTTTGTTTCTGTTTTTGTTGGTTGTGGGGCTTGAACTCAGGGCCTGGGCGCTGTCCCTGAGCTCTTTTGCTGGAGACTAATGCTATACCACAGCTCTACTTCCAGTTTTGTGGAGATAAGTCTCACAGGGACTTTTCTGCCCAGGCTGGCTTTGAACTGCAATCCTCAAACCTCAGCCTCCTGAATAGTATGAGCCATGGGCACCCAGCAGGTTTTTGTGGGTTTTTTTGGTTTTGTTTTTTGTTTTGGTTGGTTGAACTCAGGGCCTGGGCACTGTCCCTCAGCTCCTCAGCTCAAGGCTAGCTGTTAACCACTTGAGCCATAGTGCCACTTCCAGTTTTCTGATGGTTAATTGGAAATAAGAGTCTCACCTACTTGACTGCCTTGGGCTGTCTTTGAACCATGATCCTCAGATCCCAACCTCCTGAGTAGCTAGTATTACAGGCATGAACCATTGGTGCCTGGTTTTTGTGTTTTGTTTTGTCTTTGTGCCAGTCTTGTGGCTTGAACTCAAGGTCTGGGATCTGTCCTTTAGCTTTTTTTTTTCCTAGTCCTGGACTTGAACTCAGGGCCTAGGCATTGTCCCTGAGCTTCTTTTGCTCAAGGCTAGCACTCTACCATTTGAGCCACAGTACCACTTCCAGCGTTTTCTGTTTATGTGGTACTGAGGAATCCATTGGAGGGCTTCATGCACGCTAGGCAAGCACTCTACCATGCCTCAGTTTCCCTTCTCCCTCACCAACTCCATTATGCCCACAGCTGAAGGCAGCAATGAACCCGCAGCTGACCACAAAGCCAGGACCTGCCTTTGGGAGTCGAGGTAAGGGACATGTCCTCTTTCCTCTCTCCACCCTGGGAGAGGTGGAGTTGGATGTGCCTCACATTAGAGTCATCCTCTGCCATTCTGTTGCACCCTCCTGGCTGTAACTTCCTTTTTTCTGGCCAAGTTCCTGAGGTAGCATGGCTTCCAGTGTACAAATGAGATAGACACCCAGAGATGTCAACTGCTGTGCCTGAGAAGGCATCAAAGCATCAAATCTGACCTGATGCTCCCTGTACAGCAGGTGTAGAATATCTGGTACAGGGTCAGACTGGGGGGACCCCAGAATAAAGAGGTCAGAAGGGCAGCCTACTCTATCTCCAGTACCCTCTCTATTGGGATATCTGTGCACCATTTCCTCAGCAAAGGGGACATCCTTGGGCCACCACTGACTTCATTCCGGTCACTGTTGCTGTTACTGTTCAGGGACTTGCCCCTAGGTCAGTGCTTCTGAGGCTTGTGACCCCACAACTCTGGGATGTCAGGAAAGGACAGAACTCCAGGAAATTTTCCTGTCTGAAAGAGGATGTGGGAAGAGTGGTGTTGTAGTCCCTCCATCCTGATGGCTTCCTCCACCCAAGGTCAAACTGCTCACCTGAGGCACATTTGGTTAGCCCTACTGACCTTGAGGGTGGCTTTGAGTTTTGGCTCAGCCCAAAGTCATCTGGAGCCAAGCCTGGAAAATCATTTGGGAGGTCAAGTTAGGTGACACTACAGCCTTGTGTAGGAAATGACAAGGAGAGGAGGATGGTTTCCTCCTGGAGTTTCAAAGTTGGCTCCAAGGACCCCATGTCCCAGCCCCTTCTCCCTGCTCCTCCTGACTGCTGCTTTCCTTCTTGCAGGGCGAGAGGTGATATCCAGAGTGGTGAGTAACCCCCCATCCTCACTCTGCATTTTTGGGTTCTATCTAGAAAAGAGGCAGGGACAGAGTAGGGGCTTGAGAAGGCCAGGAAATACTCTTAGATCCCAGGAGAAAGGCCCCAAAGAGTCTTTCCCTTCTGCCACAGGCCCCTAGCAGGCAGAAGCCAGTTGTCCTAAAGGCACTGGCCAGAGCTCCTCTTTGACACCTGCATTCCCTGGCAGTTGTCACCTGTGGGTACCACTGAAGAGGAAGGTGTTCATGAGATGCTTCCTTCCAGGCAGAGGGACAATTTTAATCATTCAACCTGCCCCAAAAGAGGATCAACTGACAAGGAGGGAATGTGGTCCACTGGAGCCCCACCTCCTGATCAAGGCTTTCCCTGACTGTCACCCTACTGCTTGTGGCAAAGGTCTGTTAGTCCTAGCCTGACGTCCAGGGCTGGGCAAACTCATGATCATACATACCCCTTCCTCCCTACCTTAGGTGGCAGCAGGCCCTGCAAAGGATCAGGATGAGGATGTCTACCTGAAGTGTGAGCCTGATCCAGGTAAGGGCCTCCCTCCAAACCATCCTGCCCCACAGTCACCCTCCTGGCCCCACTTCTACCCCTTACTGGTGTGCATGGGCCTTCAGGTACTGCACAGACATCTTCAATTCTTACTAGGAAGGTAGCTCAGTGGTAGAGCACTTGCCCAGTACATGCCAGGTGCTGGGTTCAATCACCACTGCTGCAAAACCAAACTAAGTTAAAAAAAAAAAAAAACAATAATGAGCCTGGAGATGGTGGCTCATGCCTGTAATCCTAGCTACTAGGAGGCTGAGATCTGAGGATTTAGGCCAGGTTCAAAGCCAGCCCAGGTAGAAAAGTCCATGAGACTTATCTGTAATTAACCACCAGAAAACTGGAAGTGACACTGTGGCTCAAGTGGTAGAGCACTAGCCTTGAGCTGAAGAACTCAGGGATAGTGCCCAGGCCCAGAGTTCAAGCCCCACAACACACACACACACACACACACATACACACACACACAAATGATAACCTTCACTTCTGCCTTTGGTCTGGGTTGATGCACCCTGTGCCTATTAGGGGGAGGCCAACCCCTTAAAAGAAGGGCTGGGTGGAGCTTCTCAGCTGCTGTGTCCAGGCTAGCATCTCCCTCTAGTTAGAAGGACTTCCAGGGGCCCAGACAGCAGAGAAGACCCGGAAGCCATTCTTAGTCCCTCCCTGACCAGCCTTGATTTCCTTGCCTGATCCCAGGCCAACCTCAGCCTGCCTTCTCTGTTTCAGCCCCAGCCTTAACTAGGTCTCTGAGCTCCAAAGCCCTGATGCCCCCAGTCCCTCTGCCAAGGACACCTGTGATTCCTAGGTAGGTACCTCACCAGATGCACATGTGCCTACATAAAGGAGAGAAAGCAAGAGAGCTTAAGAGAATGCTAACGCAGGCTGCCTCAGTCCTGACCATGAAATGGCAGTCTCATTCCATTGTCCTGGGTCACTGACAGGGGTGGTAAGGGAAGGTTGGGATACTGGCTCATTTCTGAAAGTGATGAAGACCCTGAGCTCTGCCCTGATTTGCTCCCTACAGGCCCAACATAGTACCCCAGGATGCCTGGAGTGTAAGAGGCTTGTGGTCAAGGGGAAACTGAACTGGGTAGGGGGAGAGAGAGAAGGGAGGCTCAGGGTGGGACTGGCTGCAAGGCCAGTGATCATCTGACCAGACCTCCTGTTTCCCAGGGAGCAGCAGATGCCACCTCTAAAGGTTAGTGCATACATCTCTAGATGGTTCTGCCCAAGCCTGCGGGCTGTAGACTCCTTCCTCACCCCTCTCCACTCCCCGGCTTTGCAGCTGAGTCCAGCCAGGGTCAGGTTGGGGTGGCAGCAGTGTGTGTGTGGGGTGAGGGGGAATCCTCTTGGACATTTTCCAGAGCCTGCACCAAATTGGGAAGCTCCCAATTTGGGCCTCAAGGTCACATCTCACCTGGAAGTTTCCCAGGGCTGGGCTGGTGGGTCTTGGGAGGGTGTTGGACCTGGAGAATAGGAGTTCAGGGTGCTCCATTTTGGACTTCAGGTCTCCTGTACCCCCTGCCTCTGCTCCTACCCCTAAAGCTGTTCCTTGGAGCCTTTGCCTAACCCCTTCCAGGCCCTAACTCTGTAATTTCCTTCTTTCAGCGGGAAGGAAAGCCCCTCTTCCCTCCACAGCCCACCCTGGATGCAGTTCAGCTGCCAAGGTGAGCAGGGGCTTGGGAGGCAGGCTGAGGGCAAGGCCTGTGGCGACCAGAGTCTGAGTCCTCACCCAGAACCCTCATGGCAGAGGCATGAATTACCACCACCAGAAATGTATGTATGTGTGCACCAGGCACAGACACAGCTTTGTTCTGCTTTTGGGGCTCAGTCTGGCGCTGGCAGATGTGAATGCAAACAACGGCACTCCAGGGTTCTCTGCTCCCCATTCAATTCCCTGGCACATCTCTGAGTGGCCTTGTGTGTGTGTGGTTGTATATAGGACAGTAGCCTGCTGGCCCAGCCTTGGTACTCAGGGAACTGTGACCGCCATGCTGTAGAGAGAGCCTTGCTCTGCTTCCAAAAGGTAGGCAGCTACAGACTCCTAAGTCTTCTCTGAAATCCCTGCTGTTCACAGGCTGTGGTGGGCTGAGCTGGCAGATGGAGGTCTAGAGAGGTTCTGGATCATCCTGGGTCAGGGCTGGGATGAGTAGTTAGGAAATAAGGTTCATGATTGGGGTCTCCTTCACAGGATGGGGCCTACACAGTGCGCCCCAGCTCAGGGCCTCACACCTCCCAGCCCTTTACCCTGGCAGTGCTTCTCCAAGGCCGGGTCTTCAACATTCCCATCCGGCAGCTGGATGGTGGGCGCCACTATGCCCTGGGCCGGGAGGGCAGGAACCACGAGGAGGTAAGTGCTTGCTGGAGGAGTTGGACTTCCCAAGTAAGGAGAGTACAGAGACCAGCATTCTGAGCCTAGCTAAGAGCATATGTCTGGGGGAGAAATCCAGTTGGCATTTTTCTTTTTTTTTTTTTGCCAGCCCTGGGGCTTGAACTCAGGGCCTGGGTACTGTCTCTGAGCTTCTTTTGCTCAAGGCTAGCACTCTACCACTTGAGCCACAGCACCACTTCTGGCTTCTTCTATTTATGTGGTTCAGGAATCGAACCCAGGGCTTCATGCATGCTAGGTGAGCATTCAACAAGTAAGCTGCATTCCCAGCCCCCAGTTTGCATTTTTTCTAGGGCAGGTTGAAATAACAGGAGCCTGTGGCTTAAGCTTTCTAGATTCGTGGCACTTTGAGAAGAGGTATTCCCTCTGGCTATGACTCCCATCTGCACACGGTTGAGGTGGGGCATTTGTACTTACAGCCTAATGAGGAAGGCAGGATCCAGAGTCCAGACTCCTGCCTCTCTGCCCAGCTCAACTCAATTTTATACCCAGCATTTGCTGGGCTATAAGGTAGAGATGATAACCTAGCATTCAGCTCCAGGCACAGCAGGGCCTGAAAGTTACTTTTACTTGGCCTTGGAAACCCAAGGCTAGCCAACAATGATCACAGGAAAGTTGTAGGAGGTTTAAAGTAGGGCAGCATCTTTCAGAGACAATCTGCCCCCTTACCAGTCATCTTTGGAAGTTGCTGGACATGTGAGGCTCACAAAACTCATGTGCCAGGTGCTGGTGGCTCATGCCTGTATTCCTAGCTACTCAGGAGTCTGAGAGCTGATGCTAGCCTGTGCAGAAAAGTCTATGAGACTCTTCTCTCCAATTAACCATCAAAAAGCCAGAAGCGAGGCTGGAAATATGGCTTAGTGGTAGAGTGCTTGCCTAGCATGCACAAAGCCTTGGGTTCAATTACTCAGCACCACATAAACAGAAAAGGCCAAAAGTGGTGCTGTGGCTCAAGTGGCAGAGTGCTAGCTTTGAACAAAAGAAGCTCAGGCCCTGAGTTTAAGCCCCAGGACTGGGAAAAAAAACAAAAACAAAAACCCCAAACCAGAAGTGGTGCTGTGGCTCAAGGCAAAAAGTTCAGAGAGAGAGCATCCAGCCTCTGAGTTCAAACCACAGGGCCAGAAGATGATAGATAGATAGATAGATAGAGAGAGAGAGAGATATCAATATGAATTGTTGATATGGCACTAGTGGTAGAATGCCAACTTTGGGTGAAAAAAAGAAACACCCAAGGAGAACTCAAGGCCTCGAGTTCAAGCCCTAGTACTGGCACAAACAAAACAAAACAAAAGTTCATGCTTGCCTTACCTCTTTGTGTAGGTCTTCTCTTCCGTGACCACCATGGTTCAGCACTATTCAAAGCATCCCCTGCCCCTGGTGGACAGACACAGTGGCAACCGGGAACTTGCCTTCCTGCTCTTCCCCCTCAAGCCTTAAGGCTATGCAACATACACACCCATCATTGGCCCAAAGGGTGTGCCTTCATCTTCTGGACACCACCTAGGGCTGCCTTCTCTCTCTCTAGTCTCTACCACTCCACTCCCTGTAGGCCCCAGATGAGAGGCACTGGGCAAAGGTTGCCCATAGAGACAAAGGACCTTGGGGATGCTACCTAATATACATCCAGAGCCTCCCGGCTGCACCCCTGAGACCCTCCCTCCACCATTGCTAGTTTCAAGCAATGACATGGTCTGCCATAGTACACTCCCCTCCCTCTCTCTCCATATCCTCTCCCTGCCCCCCACCCCCCTTCTCTGCAGGACTGAGGGTTGAACTGTGTTTTCAAGCTTGCTAGGCATATACTCTACAACTTGGGCCATGCATGCTCCCCTCCCCCACCTTTTGCATTTTATGTATTTTAGCTTGCTTTTCAGCTAGTCTTCCTGCTAAGTTTCCCATGGGCCAGCCTCCAACTGCAATCCTCCTGTATCTGCCTCTTGAGTAGCTGGGATTCATTACAATCTTATACTTATCACAAGCATAGTACACAATAAATATTTGTTGAATGAAGTCTTGAATCTGCTAAGAGTAACTGCAGTGGCCCCCAGGAAGCCTCCATGGTTCTCAGTTTCACAGAGCACACTGGCTAGAAGTGATGGCGCCAGGGTGGACTGCACCACCGCAGAAGGGAACATATATCTAACAGATTAGGACTTTTGCTTCTAAATGTGTTGTGTGGGGGCTGGGAAGGTGGCTCAGTGGTAGAGTGCTTGCCTTGCATGCATGAGGCCCTGGGTTCGATTCCTCAGCACCACTTAAACAGAAAAAGCAGGAAGTGGTGCTCTGGCTCAAGTGGTAGAGAGCCCTGAGCTGAGGGGCAGTGCCCAGGCCCAGAGTTCAAGCCCCACGGCCGATTAAATAACTAATTAAATGTGTTGTGTGCCAAGGAGGATGAAGGGCAGCTGCTGGTTTTTGTTTTGTTCTGCTTGTTGGCATCAGAGGGAGGGAGGGAGGGAAGGGAGGCCCAAAACTGCCTCCTCCATCCCGCTAAAGGAGAATGGAATCCTTTAACGACTGTTCTCCACCTACTAGCCACACAGGACTCCCGGGAGGCGTGTGAGAAGGTTGATTTTTGAGACCTGGGAATGGTCGAGGGTTGGGGAAACTGAGGACCCCAGCAAACAACCGGGCTCTGGGCAATCTAGTGTTGGAAGAAAAGCCAGGGAACACTGAAGCCCGGGCGCTCAGAGATGAACGTGGGGGGTGGGGGTGGCGGTCCGCCCCAACTCGGGGGCGGGGGGTCCAGGCGGGGCTGCGTGTCTGGGTAGGGCGTGGGCCTGGAAAGCTGGCGGGAGGATGGGGGGGAGGCGCCCCTCGAGGGGCCGACGGCCGGCAGAAGGGGAGCGGGGCCGGGGGCGGGGGCATCTCCCAGCCCTGGCACGCCGCCTGGAACACCCCGTGCCGGAAGCGCCATGTGACTGTGACTCCGCACGTCCTGAGCGCCAGGGGGAAACAAAGGGCAGCGCTGCAGCCCCCACCCCCTGCGCGCGCGGGCTGGCACCGAGCGTCCCGCCCGCACCCCGCACCCCCACACCGCCCGCCCTCCCCGCCGATCGCAGGCTCCGGCGCGGCAGGGGGAGTGGGGGGGGTCTCGGGGAGCCTTATGCGGGAAGGACTGAGCGCGCACACACACATACGCGCGCACACACACACGCGCGCGCGCGCGCGCGCGCGCGCGCCTGGGCAGGGTTGGGGTCCTGGCGCGTTCTAGCAGGCGCGCTGACGTGCGTGCCGTGCCCGACTCCTGCGGATCACCCATCTCCGAACTGTCATTTCCTCCTGGGCAAGAGTGGAAAGATCATTGTTCCTGCACAATCGTCCACCCCTGCCCAGGAGGCTTGAGTGAGGCCTTCTACGTAAGAAGCGTCGAAGGGCTGCCCCGCAGCGGCCCTCCTCCCAAACCACAGCCCGTGAATTCAGGTCAATTACTCACCACCCACCCAAGTCCCAGCGGGAAGACCATTTCCGGGTGGGGTGCCCGGAAGAGGCTGAGGATGGGGCAGCAGATGGATGCAGAGGGGATTGGCAGCTGGGGGTCTCTAATGGAAGCTGGGTAGGCGGCCAGGGTACTCTCCTCCGCTCCATTAGCCAGCCCAACGGCCCTCCGTGGCAGGAGGGGCTATCTCCTCCTCTTCTCCAGCCTCACCTGTATAGTTTGGCAGGCTGGCAATTCTGGGGTGGTCCGATCCTACATGCAGTCTCTCTTTGCTGGCTCTACGTTCTTGGAGAGACCCCACACTCCAAAATCATAAAGGCCCCATGGCCTGGTTTTACTGAGTTTTGAGTTTTGTCCCCAAGGTCAAAGCCACTGCCCTTGAGCTTTTGAGTTAGTGGCCACAGGAAACCTCTTTGCTTGTCCTATCTGAGAGACCCACTTCAAGGAACTGCTGCTCTCCATTATTCTCTTCCCAGAGGAAAAGATGAGGAGAGCAATCCAAGCAAGAGTGGGAGGGGGGCGGGGAGACAGGGAGGATCAGAAAAGAGGAAGGCCTCCTCACCTCACAGGTCTCCACAGATGTCCCCTTTTCCAGGGGGACCCTCTGTTTAGTCTAACCCATCCCACCTCATCCTCCCCTGTCTGGGAGCTGGTACTTGAGGCACCCCCTCTAAACCACCTTTTCCCTCCCAGGATCCATGTGCTACTCCTACTTTTGAGTATTTGAGGCCCTGGATACAGTAAAGGGAGAGACAATATTTGTCAAAAGATTTGAAACTAGACCCAAGGCCCAAAGTCTAGGAGTCCCAAGTTAGGTTCAGCTACTTACGCTCATGTGCCAAATAGACATGGTGAAGGGCAGAGAAAGATTTATCACATGGCAGCCATGGGAAGCCAGCACTTCAGCACATCTTCACCATCTTCAAGGGGATAGATGGACAGCTTTAGGTTAAATCGAATTAGGGGCAGGTGGTGAGAAAAATATGCATAGTTAAAACAGCCCAGGTCACAGGTGTGTAGCCCAGTTGACCATTATCTGTCTTTGTCCTTGAAGTTAGTTGTTCCAGAGAATTGTTATCACTTTATTGTTGGAACAGAGCTTGAACAAGGTGGTTTCTTGAGTTTGGGGCTGTTTTCTTTAAGATGATAAAAAGTTGTTGCTTGTTGAAGGGCCAGATTTTCTTCCACTCAAGACACAGTTATCACTGATTTTTCTCTTCCCTACTGCACCTTTAGGTGCAGCAGAGAATATTTCAGATCAAAGAGTACCAACTAGGTCAAGTCTATCCTGGGTTCCACTAAACTGATAATCAGAACTTCCTTTGTTAAAAGTCCAACAGAGTGCTATTCAAAAGGGTTTTCTGTGATGATAAAAAGATATTAAATATGACTTAATATTAAACCCAGTTGTTAATTACTAATTTAATTAACCTTAAATGCCTGTAGCCACATGTGATTGGTGATCATCATATTGCTCCAGGTGTCTTGAGGATGGCAGGTTCTAGGTCTGTAGCCTAATAGGCCCAGCAAGGAATATGGGTACTGGGGAGTCATTGAGGGTATATACTGTGGTGGGGTATCAGAGGGTATCAGATGGATGGTATTTTAGGAACATCCTGCTAGCTGTGTCATGCAGAATGGCTAGAGGGGCAGCAAAGAGTCTGGGAGAACAGTTAGGGACTGCAGCTATTTCTGCAATTCAGGCCAGCTAATACCCCCTGACTTTTTACCATGCTAATATCCTAGTGATAGGAACTAGCAGAAATGCAGACCTCTATAACTTGCAGATGGAAAGATAGGTGATAAACCAAAACCTCCCTGACAATAAAATGGGGGCAGAGGGTTACAAAAGAATGAGAAAGTAGCTAGGCATCGGTGGGCTCATGCCTGTAATCCTAGCTACTCAAGAGGTTGAGATCTGAGGATCACAGTTCAAAGCGGGCAGGGCAAGAAAGTCTGTGAGACTCTAATCTCTATCAGAAAACTGAAAGTGGTGCTGTGGCTCAAAATGGTAGAGCACTAGCCTTGAGCAAAAGAACTCAGGGACAATGCCCAAGTCCCATAATAGATAAAAAAAGAAGGAGGAGGAGGAAGAAGAGGAGGAGGAGGAGGAAGAGGAGGAGGTGGTAAATGAAGACTATATCTGACATCACAACCTTACAGGAAACAGAAAGGAACTTACCAATGAGAAAGCCATATGCTTCTCACTAACCATAGGTCAAGATAGCAGACATAGACATAAGTTAACTGTGGGCTTCTCTGTGGTGCATTTATGCCACGTGCTTTCTTTATCTTATTTCTTTTCTTTTTTCTTCTTCTTTTTTTTTTCTGTGTTGGTCGTGGGGCCTGAACTCTGGGCCTGGGCGCTGTCCCTCAGCTCTTCAGATCAAAGCTAGCACTCTACCACTTGAACCACAGCACCACTTCTGGCTTTTTCTGCTTATGTGGGGCTGAGGAATCAAACCCAGGGCCTTAGGCATGCAAGGCAAGCATTCTACCACTGAGCCACCTTCCTAGTCAATCTTATTTCTTTTGTGATAATTTTTCTATCATATTTACTTATGTTCGTGTCTTGGTTGAATTCTTCTGTTGCCAGATGCAAGGACCAATGTTGTTTAGCTGCTCTAAACTTTCTGGCAAAACTACCTTGCATGCCATTCACATTTCCTATAGTAAAAAAGCCATAGTCTAAGGAATTCCAAATAGGGTCACCAATGTGTATGGAGGAATCAAATCTTTGAGACATGCCATTTGGTAAAGAAGCCCAGGTATGACAGGTGCTGTTTTGTCTGTCTCCAAGGACACCTAGGGCGAGAGGAGCCCAGGCAGTATATAGTTGGTCAGGACTTAAAACCATGGCTATCATCCTGGCCAAATAGGTTCAGAGTGTGGTATAAACAATCATCCTAAACTTTCAGCTGTCCTTTGTGAAGAGACAGCCTGACCAGGGATGAAAGCTTCAGCAGAGAAGCTGGGTGCTAATAGTTCACTCCTGTAATCC